CCTGTAGAGCCATACAAGTACTCAGCTGAGCCAGGGTCTTTGAGAGGGGGGGCCCAGGCATCAGGACTGTTGCAAGCTTCCCAAGAAACGCTGAAAGGTGAGCACTCCTGGGCCAAAGTCAGTGAGGCAATGTTCCCACAGCGCCCCTCCACTGCAGCACCGACTTGGGGCAGCTGTTGAGAGACAGAAAAAGAGATTGATGCATGCGAAACACCTGTCTGGCTCTGTGATTATCCTTCTTCTTCCCATTTTGCACACCAGGAAGATGTGGCTGGCTGGTGGCAAAGCCAAGGCCAGAAAAGTTACGTGGGACAGCTGCCTATTGTCCACTCATTGTCTACCTACCCAGGGTGGGTATTTACCTTGAACCTGGCCCTGCCCGTGGTCGTGGTCCCCACAGGTTAGGAGAAGCTGGGCAGGAAGCTGATCTTACAGCAGAGGACTGCCCGACATGAACCATCCACCCAAGTCAGAAAACGCCGCTCTGTGACCCTGCTGCAGGGAGACAGAGACCAAAACCAGCTTGAAAGCTCGTCTAATTAAGGTCCCTGTGCAAAGCACAAAAATGCCAAATAGCCCTACTCTCCTGGCTAATACAGATGACCGTCACGGATTTGTCAATCATAGACCCACCCTCCCCCTGCTCTTTCCCTCTTCTAGAGAAGACTTATTAAGATATCTCATCAAGAATCGGTCCTGCTTCCTAATAGCATCCAATAAAAAAGTACAGCCCCACTTCCTTGAACTTCCCCAAGCATCTAAGGCAAGTATGAATTCTGCCATGAGTCCTTCCTGACCCTTTCTGGCGGAGACCACTACGGTTCCCCACGGTGGGCCCTCCAACTTCTCACAACCAGTTGATAAACCTCCCTGCAGTCTTTGGCTGGTGGGCATTGACAGGATGATACCGTGCGGCCCTGGGGCTGGTTCGAAGGTGGCACAAAGATTAGGAGAAGCCATTTCCCTAAAAGCTCTTGCAAAGGAGATCTTCGAACCGGGTCTGGGAGAATAACAAGAGACCTGCCAGGCAAACTGAGGAGAAAAGGCCTTCCAGGCGGAGGGAACAGCATCTGCGTAGTCCCAGAATGTGAGAAAGCCATACACATTTGGGGAGTTTGTTTGGATTCATTTACTGGGTGTGGGGCACGGGCGAGGCTGTTTTATCCTGACTCTACCCTGAAGGCAAGGGGAGCCACTGAAGGATTTTAGGGAGAGGGACTTAATCAGACTTGTGTTTCAGAAAGTTGCTCTGGTAGGGAGGGTTTGTGGCCTGGAGAGGCCGAGACAATCGAGACTTTGTTACCAGACACTGCTAAGCACATAGTAGATGCCCATGTTGGAAGTCACCAGGGGGGGGAAGGAAAATCAGGTCAGTCAGAAGGGGGCGTTGGGTCCTGGGGACAGATGGCAGAGGGTGGCCTCGTGAGAGGAGACTGTGATGTAGCCAGGGCTCTGGGGAAGGGGTGAAAAGCATGGGGGGTTGGGGGGGGGGGGGGCTTTCTCTCCCTCCCTGCTTGCCACTTTGCCCCTCTAAAGAGCCAGGAAGACAGTAAGTGCTTAACCAGTGCCCATTCAATAGTGCAAGACACTTCAGGGACAGACAAATGTAGGTCTGTGTGGCTTGCTGTGGGACCTAGCCTCCCTGAGCAAGGCTCCTCATCCACAAATTAGGAACAGCACCTCCTACCATGTAGCTATGGAGAGGGGAAGCACATTTCCAGTAATAACGTTGGGCCCAGACTGTCTTTGTTCCTTCAGTAATCCTGCAAGGTGGGTGCTTTACAAGTGTGGAAACTGAGCCTTGAGTGGGAAGCACCTGTGTTCAGGGCACAAAGCTAGCTGGTGGTGGAGGGGGACCTTGGATCCTGGGAAGGCCACCTTCAGAGCTCCCAGCCACGGCCAGCCTGGCCCAGGGGATGGTATGGGGCGGCCTTCTGGGCCCTCCTCTCTCTTCAGAGAAAGAATAGCAGAGCCCCAGGGAAGATGATGTGGGTTTTGGCCAGGAGCGGTTGAGGGGCTGATCGCTCAGGTGACTGTGAGCGGTCACCGTGGCCGGGGCTGTGGGTTGCATCTGGAGACAGGGCACGATGACCCCCTACCAGGAGTGGTGATGGACAGGCTCGGCGACAAGGTTGGGGGAGCCCAAGCCCGCACAGCGAGCAGGAGGTGGGCTTGCACCAAAGGGACTGTTGGCCACGGTGAAGTGGGCACAGATGGACTTCTGCCATGAGGGGGGCGGGGGTACAGAGCCGGGGGCGGGGGCGGATCCTGGAAGGCCCCAGGGTCAGGAGCCCAAGGCTTTTCCAGTGGCTGCCCCCACTACTGGCGCCCACCCTGTCTCCTTCACGCACAGTCTAACCCTGACTCCCACAAAGGAGTCAGGCCCTCAGTTGCCATAACAACTGGATCCCAGCAGTAAAAATAGTAACTTATTTCTTATTCAACTTTTTTTGCTCTTGGAAAAAAATAAAATCCATTTCTGGGTTTGTGTTTGCCTTCAGGGGTCTCCTCTAGGGCCCCACTGATCCCACTGCCAAGACCTGGGGAAGGTCGACAGCAGGCTGGGGCCGGGGGCGGGGGGGAGGCCTGCGTGCCAGAAGCGTGGGGAGCTCTGGTCCCACGTCTGTGGCTTCCCTCAGCCTCTGGGCAGCTGTGCTCAACAACGACAGATGCCCCTGGCCTGCCCTGGACTCCCCGGGGAGGAGGGGGCCACGGGGAGGTCAGGCCTCTGGGGGCTTTCATTTTTACAAAGCCAGCCGGGACCTTTTTGGGAATTGAAGTTGAGGGCGGAGGAGGAGGTATGGCTGGCACCTGGGGACAGGTGTGTCCCAGTGGGGCTGACAATAAGGCCTGGGGAGGGGGTTACAACAATGGTGATGGAGGTCAAGGTCAGGGAAGAAGCCATGAAATGCAGGCCCAGAGCTCAGAGCGTGGGCAGCTGATGGAGGTCAAGGTCAGGGAAGAAGCCATGAAATGCAGGCCCAGAGCTCGGGGCCTGGGCAGCTGGGCTCCAGGACAGCTCCGCTGGCTGTGTGACCTTGGGAGGGTCCCCTGGTCCCTCTCAGCCTCTTTCCCTTCTCCATCGAGGGGACAGGAGGCTCTGGTCACTACTGTCATGACCCTCACCCAAAATGTATACGGACAACTGAAACAAAAGTTTCCTGCACATGACTTACTCTCTCCTGGCACCGTGTACTCTGGACGGATGTCTTTTCTGTTTCACTTCCAACGGCTGCTCACCGCCCACTGGTTGACTCCCTGATCTTCTAGAACCACGCTGCCCCATGGGACTTTCTGTGGTGTTGGAAATCGTCCAACATGGCAGCCACTGGTCACATGTAGCTGGTGAGTACTTGACATGTGGCTTGTGTGACCCAAGAGCTGTGTTTCAAATTGCGTTTCATTTTATTTAACATAGAAATAAACAGACGCAGGAGGCTGGTGGCTTTCATGCTGGAGGTCGCAGCTCTGGGAGGTCCAGATGAGCAGTTCAAAACCTGCAGCTCCAAGGAACCTTCCAGCTCTGCCTTCCTAGCCCCTCCTCACAGGGCGGGCTGGCTGCCTTGCCGGACCCTCTGGCCCACCACATTCTACCCCGCGGCCTTCCACTCGTGCCAACCTTGACCTCAAGCTCACCTGGCCAAAACCCAGCTCACATCTTCCCTCACCTCCCTGCTGCTCCTCCCCTGGTCTCCTCCCTGCCCCACACCCCCAAATGTCATCAGTACCCACCCAGCAGGGCCAGCCAGAAGCCCAGGGGTCACCATCAGCAGGGTCTGGTGGACTTGACCTCATACACATCCCTAGACCGCCTTTCTGGTCTCCACCTCCAGTCCTCCCTCCCGCCTCAGCCTGTGAATGGGTGCACCTGCAACCCCTCTTGTCCCCACCAACACCAGGTATCTGTCTGTGCCCATCCAGTGCTCAGCATTTGGGAGCACAGAAGTGAATTCCATAGGGTCGCTTTTGCCCTGGGTGGGATTATTTTCTGAATGTGTAGTGGGAACTCAAATAAAGCCTTGTTATTTAAAATAGCAGGGAGCTGGGGTTTGGGAATGAAGGGAAGGGAGAGAAGTGTGTGTGTGGGGGGGAGGAGGTGCCTTTCAATTTGGGCACCTGTCCTTTCATGTTGAAGGCTGTTCTGCCTTCCCCAGTACCCCAAGGTGTCATTCGCTCCCGTAGGTGGTTTCCCATAGCCTATAACCCGGGCCAAGGTCTCCTAAAGGATAGAGCTGGATTATGTAGAAGATCAGAGGGGGGTGGGAGATCCTGGGTACGCTGCCATGCGACAATAAAATGCGCGTGGCCCTGTCTGGGGGCCGTGAGGGTCCCCAGAGTCACAGCCTCTGGAAGTGGAGAGGTTCCCCAGAGACTGCGGCCATCCCCGGGCGGGTCCCCTGGGGCCGTCGCGCCTCGCAGGCGCTCGGGTGGCAAGAGAGGCGCTGGCCTTGGGGGAAGCGCTAGCTACAAGTATACTCCCCGGGCGGGCCACGCCAGGGGCCTGAATGGCTGGCGCGCCAGCAGTGGGTCCGCTCCCTTTCCAGCCCAGCCCCGGCCGGGGGGACAGCGGGGCTTCGTCTAGCAGGCCGTCACCTCGCTCAAACTACAGGCGGAGCGCACACCGGGGGGGGGGGGGGAGGGGGAGGGGGAGAGAGGGAGGGAGGGAGCGCCACCCCGGCCTATCCCTCCCCCTCCCCCCCGCGAGGGCAGGAGGGGTCTGCCGGGCACGGGGAGGGGGCCGAGGCCGCGGGGACTAAGGCGATTGGCCCGGAGCCCCCCGCCCCGCCCCCGCCCCATCTGCTCGGGATTTGGCGTCGGCGTCTCGGGCTCCGGCTCGGCTCGGCTCCAGCTCGGGCTCCGCGCGCCCCCCGGCCGGCCCCCGCCCCGCGCCCGCCTACCTGCTGCTCCCGCGCCCCGAGCCTCCCTCCCTCCCTCCCGCGCTCCCTCCTAGCGCCGCCGGTTGTCGGAGCCCCGGGCTGGGTGCTGATGGAACCGCCGCGATGTTCGCTCCCCGGCTCCTGGATTTCCAGAAGACGAAGTACGCGAGGTGAGGATGGGGGCGCGCGGGGAGAAGGGGAGGGGAGGGGGCGCGCGGGGAGCGGACCGCACGGGGAGGGGCGCGCGCGGGGGGGGGCGCGCCGGAAGGGGGCGAGCGGAGAGGGGGCGCGCGGGGAGCGGCGGCCAAGGCTCTTTCCCAGCTCTGCGCTGCCGGGCTCGCTCCCCCCGCAGCCCAGAGAATTCGAGTTGATAAATGGACCCTAACCTCGGCCGGAAGAAACCAGAAAGGAGACTCCGTGGTCTTTGTGAGAGTCTCCGCGCCCAGCTTTGCGCCCCCGGACCCGGGAGTAAGCGCGGGTTCCCAGCGCCTCCTCTCCTGGCGGCGAGCCCCGAGGCGAGTCGCTTCACCTCCCGGAACCTCAATTTCCAGGTCTGCAAAACGGGGATAATGACCGTCCCCATCCCTGGGGACTCCGTGAAGCACTTTGCATGGCTCCCGGAGCAGAGTAATCGCTCAGTTTTTATCCGGCGTTTTTATTAACGATAAAAGGTTGTTAGCGCGCACCCGCGGTGTTCCCCCACTCTCCCCCACTACCGCGTGCACTGCCCTTGCCTTCTCGCTGTTGTCACCGCCCCCCCACTCCTTCCCCCCCCACCCAGCCTTCACCACCCCCATGGCAAGCTGGAGGAATGAGTTAAGTGCTCTTTTTAGGTGGGGAAACTGAGGTTTAGGACCTAGGAAGAGCTGCTTGTACATCTTGGCTTTTTCACAGTTTGAGGTTTGTGGTCACCCCTGAGCCTCAGTTTCTTCTAAAACGGTGATGGCAGGTACTCCTTCCAGACTGTCGAGCGGAAGCCAAGCTCCTGTTGCACTGATTACGAATTAAATGGGGGAGGTTCATAGTTATTAAGTTTCTCTAAGATTTTGTGGGGTCGGCTTGCCTGAAAGCTGGCAGGAAAACCCTTTCCCGAATTGCCCTCGGCTCCTTAGAGGTCTTGAGGGAGGATAGGCTGTTCTGGGAGCGTGGGCTTTTGCCTCCTGCCTGGATGCTGAGGGGGCGCCCAGCCTGCCCTGCTGACTTTTTGCCCTCCCCCTCAGGTCTCCTGCTTCTGGGTGGAGTAGGCAGGGGGTGAATTTGAGACGGATTGGCACCATTTTTGATATCCACGTCTACATGGCTCACTGTCTCCTGACAATTGCTGAGGGTCCCTGTCCCCCTGAGGTCTCCACAAGTTCTGGTCAAACAGCAGAACTTGATCACAGATGTCCCGGCTGAGCATGGCATGGGGGGCGGAGGCTGTGTGTGGCAGGACTAGAGCTTTACCTGCTCAGTTTCACCCTCCATTTCCTGGGGCGGGGTTGTGCCTGTCTCCTTCATAAGGTTGGGGAGTCTCCCTGGGAAAGGGGACACATGGGGGAGTTCTTGTGGGTTTTTATTTTGGCTGGAAGGTGGGAGGGGCTGGCTGTCCAAACCCATGGAGTCCTCTCTGATATGGGCATTTGGAATTTCAAAGGCTTGTTCTCAAGGGTCCTGTATGCTCTTGTGAGGTGTAAGTTGGTGGAGGGTTTGCTGGAAGGGAAGGGAAAAGTCTGAAACTTGAGGCCACAGAGGCAAACATGCAGGGAAGGAGCTCTGAGCCCTGTGCCATGGGCCTTCGCCTGTCCTGCACCTGCTGTGTTGTGTGGTCTTGAGTAGGTGTCTCAACCTCAGCTGGTTGATTTGGAAGGACAGGAGGGTTGGTCTGAATGCTCTGTAGACTTGGACACTGGTGCTGTCCTCTCTAACTGCGATAGAACTCTCCAGCTGGGCCAGGGGCTGGGCCATGAGCTTTTTCCTTTCTATGGGTGATGAGTCCAGTGAGGAAGTAGAGCACATCGATTAGAACTATTCCTTTTCCCATCCTCATGGCGTGGCCCTTACGGTGGTGCAGCCCACAAGTTAGGTCCTTAATAAAGGCTTCCTGATTGAGCGAATTTAATAGTGTGACCCCGTGCTGTCCAGTAGAAATGTCACACAAGCCACATACTTAGTTCTACATTTTTTAGTAGCTATTCAGTTTAATGTGTGACTGATTTTCTATCTCATTGTCATAAAAAGGTAAAAAACAGGTTACTTTTAAGAATGTATTATAGTTAATCCTTGATATGCAAAGTGTTGTCATTTCAACATATAATCACTATAAATAAATTATTCATGAGATACTTTACATTCTCTTTTCACTGCAAGTCTTTGAGATCTGTTTGTGTATTTTATACTCACGGCCCATCTTGGTTTGGACTAGCTATATTTCAGATGCTCAATAGCCACATGTGCTCAGTGGCTGCCATATTAAATAGCACACAAATATCTTCCAGGGCGAGAGATAGGCATTTGTCTTAATCAGTTTGGGCTACTGTAAGGCAGTACTTGTAGACTGGGTGGCTTATGAACAATAGAAAATTATTTCTCATAGTTCTGGAGGCTGGAGGTCTGAGATGAGGGTGCCAGCATGGTTGGGTTCTGGTGAGGGCCATCTTTTGGGTTACAGAGTACAGACGTCTCATTTTATCTTCATGTGGCAGAAAGAGAAGGGAGCTACGCTCTGGCCTCTTCTTAGAAGGGCACTAATCTCATTCATGAGGGCCCCACCTCCCTGACCTAATTATGCCCTAAAAGTCCCACTTCCAAATGCCATCACACTGGAAATGAGATTTCAAAATAGGATTTTGTGTGTGTGTGTGTGTGTGTGTGTGTGTGTGTGTGTGTAGGAGGGAGAACACAACCATTCAGCCCCTAACAGTGTTCTTTGTTAAATGCTGTGTGACACTGTAAAGGATGTTTTCCCTCTTTGAGCCTCTGTTTTTCAATGGATGTTTGGACCAGCTCGTCTTTCAGGTTCTAACCTAGAACCTTTGAATGGTTTGCCTAGATCAAGAAACACACTATCATTAAGCTATAGGAATTAAAGACTGTGTAGTGTTGGTGCAGGGCTAGGCAAATCGGCCAGTGGAACAGAATAGAGAGGCCAGAAGCAGATTCATGCCTATAAAGACATTTGATTTTGAGAAAGGTGGTGTTGCTGATCAGCCAAGGCAACGATGGTCTATTGAATAAATGGTACTGAGACAATTGGTTATCCAGATGGAAACAGTGAAACTGGAGCCCTCCTTACACCATACAGAAAAAGCATTTCTGGATGGATTAAAAATTTTAAAAGTGAAATAAAAAAAGAATACAACTTGAAACTTTTAGAAAATAGAAAGGACTATCTTTTGGATTTCAGGGTAGGTAAAAATTTCTGAAGGCACAAAAAGTTAAAACCATTAAAGAAAAGATGGGTAAACCAGACCGCGTTAAGAATTATGAATTTCTTTTCTTTTTTTTTAAGATTTTTTATTTATTTGATAGAGAGAGACACAGCGAGAGAGGGAACACAAGCAGGGGGGAGTGGGAGAGGGAGAAGCAGGCTTCCCATGGAGCAGGGAGCCCGATGTGGGGCTCGATCCCAGGACCCTGGGACCATGACCTGAGCTGAAGGCAGATGCTTAACGACTGAGCCATCCAGGCGCCCCAAGAATTATGAATTTCTGTTCATCAAAAAAAAATGCCACGAAGAAAATAGAAGACAAGCTACGAACTCGAAGGACATATTTGCAGCACATTTACCCACCAAAATAATTAACGTCCAGAATATATAAACAACTACAATAAGAAAAAGACAAATAAGAGAATAGAAAATATAAAAATACAAATCGTTTTGCAGATGAACACAAAGAGAGAGGAGAGAACACAAATGAACAGTGAACATATGAAAAGCTGCTCATGTTCATTGGGTGTCTACCCTGGAGAATATTGTGCACATGTGCATCATTGGAAACGGACAAGAATTTTCTCAGCAGTGTTGTTCGTGATAAGCAAGACCTGGAGACATCCCAAACGTCATTGCTAGAGTGGTGTATATTCATATAATGGAATAAGACCCTGCAAGGAGAGCGACCTCCACTTTCAGACAACGGTATGGATCAGTCTTACAGACGTGTTGAATGATAGCCAAACACAAAGGAAAGTATGAATCCAATCATTCGATACTCAAAAACAGGCAAACCAGCTGTTGTTTAGGAATGCAGAAGAAAGTATGTGGAAAGCCGGAACATGATGATTATTGCAAAATCAACTCCCTGGCTACCTCTAAGGGAGGCAGTGGGGATACTTCTGGGTCTTGGCAGTGTTCTAATTCTTGACTCGGGAAGAAAACCAAGCTGGATTTTCCATGGCCTGCAAGACAGCTCCCAATCTCCAGGGGGAGACTTACCAACACGGCCACACCTCCCTACAAGGGAGGCTGGGAAGTGTCCTCCCACTGTCTGTGCCCATTGCTGCCTCCCTGGGGCCCAGAACAGCACCACTCATCTGAGTAGGTACCAGTCAGATCTGGTGAATGACTAGTGACTGTGTGACTTTGAGCAAGCAAATTAACCTCTGAAGACATTGGTCTGCCCTCTTGCTTTAATCTGACTTTGAATGAGGGTCTTTATAAAGCAGCATTACGGTTATACCTGCAGCCTATGCTCCTTGGACAACATTTTTAAAATCCTGGGAAGTAGGTATAAAAATGAAAGCGACAGTCCCCCTGCATCCCGCCATCTTGAGATCCTCACTGTGAAATGTGCTGTTTGCTTCCAGTGCTTTCTCTGTGGAGACGCTATAGTTAGCTTTGCTCGTCTTTTAAAAAATTTGACCTGCTGCAAGGCTGTCTCCCTTGTCCTTAACCATTATTCACAACCTGAGTTTAATGTGTGCCTCATATTCCATCTCATCATCGAACCCTGCTTTATTTTATTACTTCCCACTTTTAGACGCTTCTGTTGCTTCCTGGAACCCACTTCAGTTGGGAGACATCTCTGCGGGAGAATTCAGGAGAATTCTCTGTGTGGACGCATATCTGATCCATTGTCGATCCTGGGCATTAGCCACGTCCTGTGGGTCACAAGTTCCCTCTGATGCCCGGTTTATAAGGACCAGGTCTTGGGGCGCCCCCAGGAATGGCCACCATCACGCCATTCTTACC